GAGTGTCTGTGCAGCAACCTACCTTCATAAAAACTGCTCGCCTCGATCATGTTCAAGTTCACAGTTCCGTTCCGGTAGTCGGAAAAGCTCTTGCACCAACGGTTGCCCATGCTGCTGTCCCGGTTTATCAGAAGACTATCTCACCAGCTTATGAATACTATCATTAAATAATCTGACGACTTACAATCATAGTTTCCCGTCGTTTTAAAACAGGATTGGATTTTCGGAATAAGGAATTTATATTCACGACTAAATAATTATACTTCATTTTATGTATAAAGAAACTGTATTTAGAATCGTATTTTTTAAACTTGAAACAATCTTTCTTATTGTTTTGTATTGTTTGTGCAAAGAAAAATATGTAAATGATATCCTGTAAACGAATGGAAACTTGTATACCTTGTACTTGTTTTATACTTTGAATGGTGTTTATATAAAAAATGGAAATGAAATGTGGTTGTTTTATTTCTTGCATAATCCATCATTTAGGATATGTGAAAATTTCAAAACTGAAGGTCATTCTTTTATTGCCAGGAAAACTTTAAAAATTAATATTAAAATTTGTATTAAAAAATATTCAAATTATTGAATATACTTTATAAAATAAGATTTTTTGCTAATAGCTATTTTGAAAACTATCTTCGAAATATAGATTTCTTAAAAAGGTATGAAATTTACCGAATGGAGTGAAATTGAAAAAATTACATTTCATATTTAGAGGCTTTTCTATTAATAATTAATTTAAAAAATTAAAGTCGAGATTGTGAATGCATTCAGTATTATCAATCGCGACAAAGAAAATTTGTATAGCCAATTTAGACATCGCGATACGCTGAAGTGCATAGTCTTTCATGTCCTTATATAAGTTCCTTTCCCCGTTATAACATTTTTTTAGATCTTTCATCTTTCATTGAGTTATATGCATTATTCAGAATGCTAAGAAATAGCTACTTCCTATAACAAGCAAGTCAATTCCAACAAGGGTAACCACTGCCTCTGGGTATTACCCGTAAGGACGCAACATTGACCTAAATACCATGAAGTATAATATCCGTTCCCTTATCTGTTGTAAGTACCTTAAATAAAATGCAAGAAATTATTAAACACAAACATGTCTGCACTTAATGTCACTATTAATAAATCTTTATATTTATCCAGGGACAATGTGCAAACTCATTGTACTTATACAGTTCTCAATTTAACCAAGGAACAACACCAAGAAACAGACTGCCACTTAACATGGCCCAAATTATAATTTTCTCAAATACCACTTAATATATTTCTGTGCAATTGCATAATACGCCATGATTAAATAAATAATTGAAATTTAAATACACTTATTTAATAACACAAAATTAGTAATAATAGCAATTGACAAAACTTCAAATATAGAAAAATGTTATAAAGCTAAATTATTTTAAAATATTCTAGAAGATATTTTAAAAGATATTTCAAACATTTACGAATAAATGTAATATAGAATAAATGTACTATTATATAAGTGTAAACAATGAAGTTTAAGGAAAAGAAAAAAGAAATAAATAACCGTGAAGGACTTATTTGTATAAAACTTGAACGTGCCCGAAGAAAGTGTAGTTGCATAGTCATTGCAGAACGAAAGCAAAGAAGTATGGAATTGCGAACGGTGCACAGGCTCGTAATAACGTAGGACGCAAGTCTTAACCCGGATCGGACTGTCGTCAAACATATACTAGCATACGCGTAACGCATAAACCGGAAAACTCTAGTACCCGAAAAAATTTGCAAGAACTTGTGTGGGCGGTTGAAACTTGGCGACTGGCACGAACATGTAACAGTTTAGTGAACTCTTAGCATTTTACATTACAAACATTGGTTTAACAAACATCAAATCGTTAAATGTTCGACATGGAATAATTCGAATTCGTTAAAAAAAATATATCACTTTTTCTTATTCCATTTTCTCTTCTTAACTTTCTTTGAAATTTCTAAAACTTTCTTACAAGTCTGCTCTTGAGTCCTAACTTGTTAGCTCTTTAAGGTTTCTTGAAAATTTCAGTCTTTCAAACTCATTCTTAAACTGAATTCGAAATAATTTAGTGAAAAATAAAAAATTTTGATATTAATTTTGTATATCGAAATATTGTTGTTTGTAATACTTACTGTCGGTTAAATTTAATAGAATGTCGTTGATTATATGATTGAATAATAAGGATAGTTACATCTGATCGAAGAAACAAGTGGTAATCTGAATTCAGTACGAAATTGAGTTTTCCAAGCACGTATGTACTTTACACCCACCAAATTTCATGATACACACCAATCTGAACCGAAGGACCGTTTTTAGACTTTTAACAAATTCACCGCGCGTATACCGATGGATCGGTTGAACATTGTGCCTATTGAATTATTCTTTCGAACAAAGAGAAAACCGAAAGAACAGTTTCAAAATATCCATGCAGGAGAACGTGATTCATCGGCTCTTTACGTTTGATCGAGTTGTAACAATGCACGATCCGAATTGTAATGTTGTCACTCATGAATTCGTAACTACTTTCTAATCACCTGTAATTATGTTCGATAAGTCAGAAAATTTCGTAAAAAGTTTCAGAGATCTAAAAGAAAGAATATCTTAATATGAATAAAACAACATTCTAAAAATATAAGAGTAATAAAAAAGAATTTAAAAATGTTGTAAAAATAATAAAGAAAAATAAAACATACAAGAAATTGCGAAATATGAGGAAAGAAATAAAGAAAGGATTACAAAGTTAAGAAAGAAACGCAAATAAGTACCTTTGTTATAACTATAAGTGTCATCTAGTTTAAGTTTCAGAAAAGAAAAGATTAAGATAAAATTCTACCAATTTCTAAAATACCTTTTTCTAGTAAAAATCCCTTAAAATGAATTCACTGTCACAATGTACGCAATGAATTTATCGAACAATAACAATAACAATAATTCCAATAACTAAATCATTCTCTTAACCAGAATAACCACTATAACAGTAACACAAAGCTAAGTAGTCTACCAATAATCTTTTTCCCCATCTTATTTCACTCGCAATTAGATATATCGAATACCATGTGACCCGAAACTCACGGACAACAGTGTATCATGTATCCAGTATTTAATATTGCGTTCCCGCCACTGCAAAGGAAAGCGAACGAAATACATGAGAACTAGAAAGGCCGTGAATAAACATCGGCGAATGGTAATCACAGCTCAAAGGGATCCTTACCCTTGAAATGTCTGAAAGAGGGAACGATTGACCTCGTCCTGGACATAAAATCGACAGAAACAGCCAGAAGATGGATAATGACCAAGAAAACATCGTCGGTAACCTTAGCCCATGTGTATTGAACTGGCGGCTGCTATATAAGTAACACTGTAACGGATCTTGAATTCAGTTAGACACGCGCGAGAGAAATAACTAGATCTTGTGGACCGAGTAGTCAAGTGTTGAAGAGGTGAGTGTGTTCCGCGGAAAATCGAGCATCACGAGGGTCGTTGGAAGTAAAGGATGCAAATTCTTGGTGGTACGGTGGATAAAGAAAGTTCCTGACATAAGAATCAGTGGTTAAACTCATATTTAGTGTATAATAAATATTACAGATGGAGTGCACAGCTCAAAATTTCGCAAATGATTCTATTAATTTAGTGTTAAATATAATTTTAACAATAAGTGTATAACAGTGAAAGATGAAAATGTGGAAATGTGGTTTTTCGTGGAATTTTGAGCGGTGTACTAAGGTATACTTATGCTTACTAACAAGTAAGCCTAAGATAAAACTTGTATAGTTCAAATACCCAGGCTTTTATTTGAATTTTTTTTTCTGGTATGATTTTAGTTTATATGATTTTATAAATCTACGAAATACGAATTTTATGTCCTTTTTGTTTGGTATTATGATAATTTATGAAACAATTAGAATCCTGTAATACAAATTTTGAAAATTTTGATTTTTTTGTAATTCAAAAATAAAAAACTTATTAATTTAAATTGAATGGAATTTGCTATTTTCCAGAATCTTTAATATGAACCTAGTAATTATACTTATGGTCGTGGTTGGATTGTCTGTGGCTGTGCCACAGTACTATATTCCCTCAGGATTTGTATATCAACATCCGGCGAATATATTGAATTCGGCGTTAGAAGACACTTTACCAAATGAATTACGAAACGACTTTTATAAAAACCCACAAATCGCCGCTAAACTCGCAAAAGAATCATGGATTTTTAATAAGGAAATGCAGGTAAATTTTTTTATTCCTATTAGTACATTTTTTACATAATTCTATAGAAATGTATTATGATTTAAAATATATTATTGGTCGATTTTGAAATGAGGTTGGTGGATTTAGTTCTGAAATCTGAGAATACGACCTTCACTACTCTCTTTTACACCCATTTTACCTCTATCTTTTACAGGCATATCACATTTCATTATGAATTCGTAGCATAATATATTTTATAAGTACTTTGTAATACGATTAAAAATCAAAACCTTTGATCTACTTTTGTTATAGATTCATGTTATTTACTTTTTTGATTATAAAAGAATAATAATTTGTAAATATTAATTTGCAGTATTTTGTTATTATTTAATTATATTAATTTTAATATTTTTTAAGTATTTTATTAATCGTGATATATTAATTATAACAGTTGTATAATTTATATAGTAAACAATTATTTAGAAATTTTTAATTTATAATAATAATATTTACTTTTATTGTAGGTAATCGATCGTGAAACAGATAAAATCCCACGGGAAAAAGTATATGATGTCCTACATAATGCAGGCTTCGTACGTAAATAAGGTTAGAATAATAAAACATTTTCAATTGTTCAACGAATATTTTGAACTTCTGTGATGACTTTTATATTATTCCTTATATTATTAAAAGTATACATGTATATTTATATATATATATATATATATATATATATCTGTTATTATTCTCTAAATTATTTAAAATATAAGAATCAAATACTTTAAGTATCTTAAATGAAAATTATATAACATATTTTATAATAAATTTTTTACTATTTATCAACTTAAGTTTTGTTTTTCTCAAATTCATATAATTCAAGATATAATTTTTTATGCGCACTTTTTGAATATCAAATATTACGCGCGCGCATATATACAATCGACACACACGCACACACACGCATTCATATGTTCACATATACTATTGAATCTTAATAAATTAATAAATTTTATTATATTTAGTATATTTTAATAAAATTATTTAAGTACTATTAAAAATTAGTTCAGCAGTACAAATAAATATTAATTCCATATTCAGCATATTTATTAATTTATTTTTATAGAAAGAAGCTATAAAATACCTTAAAATAGATAATTGTATTCTTATAAAATTTTATTTCTATATTATCCCTATTTGCATAATTTACATTTTTCGGAGAATTCTAATAAAATATCTACAATAGATATATCCTCGCCCATTACATACCGTGATTTTTTATAAATAGGTTCATACGTATTAGTATGTAAAAATCTATGTATTTTTTCTAAATGATTATCTATTTGATTTGCGTACAGGGCACCTTTACTTTCATAATGCAGAGCAGATGGATAATAACATTCAATTAAGCGATTTAAATAACGCGCCACATTTATTTCGCCTATTATTTCGTGCATTCCTGGTAACTGCATTATAGGATCAATCCCAATTTGTTTCCAAATTATTGTTAAATGAATATCACTATTTTGATCTTCATTACGATATTCTGAACAAAAATTTAATAAATGATTTGGAAAATATTGTATACTGGAATGTACATGAGATATCACAAAAACTTTGATATAAGAATTTACATGACGAAATAAAGATTCTATAAACTTAATTGGATATTTTGGATTACAAAATACGACGAGTTTTTGCTTCTTTAATTTTCCTGCACATTTAAATGCATACGATTTATTTTCAAGCTTGTCTAATTCTTGTTTCTTGTCTTCAAGTTCCTTTCTTTGAAAAGAATTGTGACTAGTCCTGTCAGAAGGATAACTTATTTATTTACTTATTTAATAAAGTAAAATTTTATACATTGAATTAAAAATAAGTTATACAAATATAAAAATTTCCATTAAATTATATCACTATATTTAATGGCTTTGAAAGAAAAATATTTACTTGTTTAAACGACAAATAGGATTATTATAAACCATTTCCAAATCCACTTTTGGTCCAACTAAATCTCGTATATTGTTTATCCCATACTTAATCATAGTTGGCCTGAGAAAAAAGAATATATCAAATATATATTCATATATTAATATATCAAAGTTCAAAAATACATTAATAATGCAAGAATTATTTATTTTTCTATTACCTTTCTAAAGATAGTCCCCAAGCAATTACACGTACATCTTCAGGTAATCCCATTGGTAAAAGCATTTCCGGTCGAAACATTCCACTATTACCAATTTCTATCCATTTTTCCAAACCTTCATGGAAACAAAAAATCTCCATACTTGGTTCAGTGTATGGATTGTATGCAGGTTTAAACTGAAGCTGTGTAATACCAAGTTTCTTAAAAAATTCATACAAAACTCCTATTAAGTCACCTAATGTAAGATTGTAATCAGCAATTACACCTTCAATTTGGTGAAATTCAGCTAGATGTGTAGCATCCAAAGTTTCATTGCGAAATACCCGATCAATACTGAAATATTTCACTGGTTTAAACTCACCCTGAAATTTATTTGAACATTTCTTAATTTTTAAATCAATACCAACTTGAAAATTTCTGCTTGAATATTCCTATTAAATTACCTCCTGCGTAAGTTTGTAAAGCATTCGTGCACTGACAGCAGTTGTATGAGTTCGAAGAACATTTTTTTGTGCTTCTTCGATTTTCCAATCGTATCGGTAACCTAACGATCCATAGCCTCCTTCGCTATGAACCTTTTTTACCTTGTCCATATATTCCATATTAAAATTTGTACTATGAGATGGATCTAAAGAATAAATTTTGAACCTGTTAATGAGTCTAGTATATACAATGTAATTAGTTAAAACACTTATTAATAAAAGTACCAGCTATAAAAAAAGTATCATGTGCATCTCTTGCTGGATGTTGTTGAGGTTGAAATAATGCATCAAAATTCCAAAAAGAACTTTCAACATAATTATTTGTTGGCATCTCAGTAAATCTAAAAAATAATTTAAAAAATGTAAAACAAAAATATTTAATTTTATGCTATAAAATTTAAAACTTTTTTTTCTTATATACCCCATTTCCAAGAAAATTTTTCTAAATTCACTTCTAACTTTTAATAGTGGATGTAAATGTCCCACATCAAGAGTGGTACCAAATGCTTCAAAATTATATGGTTTAAATTTCTTATCTTTCCATGCATCATTTACTAATAAATCAGCAGTCAATTCTGTTTCTTGTTTTTCAATTGTTGTAGTAAAATTTGGGCCTTTTTCCAACTGTATAAATTTAACAACCCTGTTAGTAAAAAAAGTTAATTATACAATAATCAATACTTTTATACAATTTTTTACTAAATTAAGTTAATAAAAAACTTACGTCTCTTGAATCAATTTTCTTTTTTTATACTCATTTCTAATGCGATCTGTTAAATTTGTAAGATCCATTAAATCATTCTGGGTAACATCTATGATGGAAGCTATTTTCTTTTTTACAACAGGAATACCACTGCTTTTATCAATTGTTATCCACCCAGCCTGTAATGCTTTAGAAAATCCAATTTTTGCAAAAGGAACTGATTGCATAATTTCAGATTGAGATATTCCATCATCTGGAATTGCATTATAGATTATTGCTTCATGACTGCCATAACTCACTACATGCTGACCTTCCGATGTTAATTCCCACTTTTTATCACTAATTTGTTTAGTGGTAATCAACTATAACATAAACCGTAATATTAATAAATAATTAATATTGCTTTTCCTAGAAAATTTAAATTTAATAAATAAAAATATAAATTTTAGGGTTATGGTCCCATCCAAATTTATATTAATACATTTATCGTACATATTCATTTTTATAATATAAAAAATGTTAACATATACTTTTATATACAAAATAATATTTTTATGTTAAATATTATCGGAAACTATTATAGTGATTAATTGTAAACAATTTGTGTTATTAACTTACGTCACTAAGTGCTTCGAGACTTTTAATGGCTCCAATAACTTTTTGATGATTTTCCTTAAAAATTTCAGCCAAATGCAGAGAATTTACTTCTTCGTGGTGATCTAAATATTCCAATATTTGATCTGTCAATTGTTTTGCCATGTTTAAGATTTCACTTTACAATGAAAGAACCGGTAAGAATCACGTGTTCATACGTGACAAGGACAACAATGGCAGATGATTTCATATAACAAATAATTTCAAAATATTGTTAAATATTAATTTGTTATAATTAATAGATACCATTCAAAGTAATTTCAATACTGTAATAAAAAAATAGGTTACAAAAATATATTAATAACAAAGTTATTACATAATTTGAGATGTAACAAATACATTTTTCTAACTCTTTTTCATATTTTTTACTTAAGTAAATTTATTTTTAATTTCATGTGAACAATAAGGATATTTAAAAGGTATTTTAAGAGAAAAATTATGTTAATTTTTATATTTTTTATTCGTGTTAAAAGTATAAATTATTTTAATGGGATAAATCTTGAAGAGTGAGTAGCACCAATACCTGGTCTACCATGTTTTACAGGTTTGTAAGTAACAGAAAATTCTCCCAAGTAATGACCAATCATTTCTGGCTTAATTTCAACTTGATTGAATGTTTTGCCATTGTAAACACCAACAATTGATCCCACCATTTCTGGTACTATGATCATGTTACGTAAATGAGTCTTTACAATTTCTGGTTTTTCATTAGGTGGTGTTTCCTTTTTTGCCTTGCGGAGCTTCTTTACTAAAGCCATAGATTTTCGTTTTAAACCATGAGAGAATCGCCTACGAGCACGAGCATGCATCAAAACCATAAGTAGCTCACTGAAACAAATATTTACTTTTAACATAAAATATTAATTTTAAGTTAATTGAATAATTACTGTTCTTATAATTAATTATTATAATTCAATCCTTCGGTTTCTCACTTCTTGCACTAAACTACAAATATTCCATAACGATTGTTACATTCTCAATCATCGATCAACAATTATAATTATATAATTGTTAAAAAATAATTATTAATTGAATAATAATAGCTACTAAATTACTATAAATAAAAGAATTGTCGAAGAATAAAATCCTGTTTCACGTGAAAAGTGTCGCTCGAACCAGATCGCCTCTACCGTCTCTCCTAGGTATGCTAGGGTTATCATCATAAAATGCTTTGTATTTTTTAAACTGAAAAAAATACTTACTTTGGCATATCAAGGAGTTGATCGAGATCAACTCCTCGAAAGGTGAACTTTCGGAAAGTCCTCTTTTTCTTTTGAGTTTCTTCTGCCTACAAATTTATAATAGGTTAGATTACAAATCAAAAATATTTATTCTCATACATTAATATTACATCTTTCGAGCAAAGAAGAAAATTGTAACGTATTATAACGCATTTGTTTGTATGTTTTTATAATAGATGAACAAGATTTTATAAGATATTTTCATCACATCTCCGACACATACCTCAGCCATGTTTTCGGTCGTTAGGGAAAACGATAACAAGAAATAACTCTCTTCGTTCTACGCAGAAATCGATTCCGGCATTAACTATATATTACTAGATGAAGATCAGGTATACTTCTTTCTTCTAAAAAGAATATTAATCGTACAAATTTACAATATTATGAAATTACATAAATTCGTTAATGTTTTAACATAATTTATTAATTTTTTATTTTTTTTTTTATTTTTAACACTTACCTTTTTTTAACGAAGGAAGTGAAATACCTTTCGTTATTGATTTTTAGTTAATATTTGTTCACTCGTACAAATTGACAAGTTTCAATAAATTATTATAAAGGATTAAACAATGTATAAAGATTTATAAAATGAATAGAGTTAAAAAACCCGCTCACATCGTGTCATTTTTTTTTGGTTTAAATAAAAGGAATACTGTCAGTGGCGCTAAATCTTGACTATGATTAGTATTCCCAAACATTTAAGAGAAGACCACGTGTTTTCAGTGCACCCCAATATTACTCAATAAAATCGAGAAGTTCTAAATAACAAATGCATATGGACAGATTGGTGCATATGTTTTATGTTGAATAAATTGATTATAAAATATGAAATATATTTTAGTAACCGGTGGTGTTATTAGTGGAATTGGCAAAGGTGTCATTGCGAGTTCATTTGGAACTATACTTAAACATTGCGGTATTCATGTGACATCTATCAAGATAGATCCGTATATAAATATTGATGCTGGTACATTTTCTCCCTACGAGCATGGTATGTTGTTGAAAAATCTGTAATTATAATTTTGTTTTATGTCATTTCATTTGAGTGAATAAATGTCTAAAAACAGTTGTATGAAAATGAAAAATTTTATACAGCCATGTGGTGTTAGAAGCCATTTTATATTTCTGCCGCGTAATTTTATATTCATTGTAATATTTCTCAGAACATTTTTAATTCTAAGATTAAATTTCAATTATAATGAAATTTATTCGTCTCATCATATATAAATTATTAATATTTTTTTAAAAATAAATCTAGTTAATGGTATATTCATATTTTTTTTAGTTTATTTATTCTTTCTTTTAACTGTAAATGTTGCAAAATCGTCTAGCTTATAAATATATTTGCTATAGTACATATTTATTATTTTTAGAAACTATATTTAAATGTATATATATTTTATTTAAATAAATGTAATATTAATTAAGAATACATAATTTAAAAATTTTCTAATTAAAAATTAATATAAGTATAGTTAATTATTATATCTATTATACTTCCAAGTTTTAAATTAAATGTTGCACGTTTGGAATATCATTTTACTTATTTAAAAATCATTTATATTTTAGGAGAGGTTTATGTGTTGGATGATGGTGGAGAGGTGGATCTTGATTTAGGAAATTATGAACGGTTTTTGGATATTACTTTGCACAGAGACAATAATATTACAACAGGAAAAATTTATCAGCATGTAATTTCAAAAGAAAGAAATGGTGATTACTTGGGAAAGACTGTTCAAGGTATAGGAAGCTTTATTTAAAAAATGAGTATATAATTGATAGTGATAATAATTTTGTATCATTGTTATATAGTAATACCACATATAACAGATGCTATTCAAGAATGGGTTGAAAGGGTTGCAAAACAGTCAGTAACAAAAGATGGTGATCTACCACAAGTAATTTTCATGTTTATATATGTATCAATTTCAAAAGAATTTCACAAAAAAATGTAAAATTAATCGACATTTTGTTTATTACAGGTTTGCATTATTGAGTTAGGTGGAACTATAGGAGATATTGAAGGAATGCCATTTGTAGAAGCTTTCAGACAGTTTCAGTTTAGAGTGAAAAAAGAGAATTTTTGCTGTGCACATGTATCTTTAGTACCACAAGTATGAATCTGTCTTATTTAAGTAACTGCCTTGTTGTCTTAGACCTTGACTTTAAACTCATGCCAAATTTCAAGGCAGTTTATTTTTAACTTTTAAAATGATGTAACTATTGTTTATAAAAATTTGTAGCTACTTTTATCAATATTTAAATGATATTTATAAATATTTAAGAAAAAAAAGAGAAGTATATGTGAAAAATGTAAGCATACAAATTAATTAATTATATTTTTTTTCTTTTTAGCCAAAATATACAGGAGAACCAAAAACAAAACCAACTCAAGCTAGTGTAAGAGAATTACGTGGATTAGGTTTGACTCCTGATCTTATAGTTTGTAGATCTGAGAAACCAATAGGTGATTCTGTAAAAGAAAAAATATCGAATTTTTGTCATGTTGCGCCTGAACAGGTAAAATTTTTAATCTTTTTAGAAATAAAATTTGAATATAATTATTTAGGAACTTACCAGAAAGTTTTATTAGGTCATAACTATACACGATTTGTCATCTATATATCGCGTTCCTTTGTTGATGGAATTTCAAGGTGTTATTGAATTTCTAAACGAGAGGTTACAATTACATATTGAAATGCCTCGTCCTCGATATTTTATGCGAAAATGGAGAGATTTGGCAGATCGGATTGATCATTTACGGAAAGAAGTGAGCATTGCATTAGTTGGAAAATACACAAAATTAGAAGATTCCTATGCATCAGTTACAAAAGCTCTACAACATGCTTGTATTCAAGTTGGCTACAAACTAAATTTAACAGTAAAGTATCAAATATTTGCTTTTTATTATGTGTATTCTTAAGGATTGTTATTATATTAATATAAATATAATTTTAGTATATAGAAGCTGATAATTTAGAACAAATTACAAAATCACAAAGTCCTGTACTATATCATGAAGCTTGGCAACAACTTTGTAAAAGCGAGTAAGTTATTTTGTTTGTTTTAGTATTATTACTTTCTGATCATTTTGCTTATTTTGAATTTTATCGTATTAATTGGATTATATTTAGTGGCGTTGTAGTGCCAGGTGGATTTGGTAAAAGAGGTATGCAAGGAAAAATAGAAGCATGTAAATGGTGTAGAACAAACAATAAACCATTTCTCGGTATTTGTTTGGGGCTACAATTGGCGGTTGTTGAATTTGCAAGGAACGTTCTAGGCATAGAAAGTGCAAATAGTATGGAAATTGACCCAGAAACTGATTATCCCTTCGTTATAGACATGCCTGAATATAATCCAAAACAAATGGGTGGAACCATGAGACTTGGAAAAAGATATACTCGATTTACAAAAAATAATTCAGTTATAAGTTAGTAAGAAAATTTTAAATAAATTCAATATAATTTAGTATAATTTTGTTTCCTAATAAATGTTTTACATTATTATATCACACATAGAGCAGTTGTATGGTAACAAGGATTATATAGAAGAAAGACATAGGCATCGGTATGAAATTAATCCAAAATATATAGATGATTTAGAAGCAGCTGGATTAAAGTTCATAGGTAAAACAACATCTGTTTTTTAGTTTACAAATGTAATAAAAAAATAGTTGATAAGATTATTCTGAAGGTTCTTATATTTTTAACACATGTTACCTTGTTTTTGTGTTAGGTCGTGATGAAGAAAATTTACGTATGGAGATAGCAGAATTAGAAGGCCATAGTTACTATACTGCTACACAATTCCATCCAGAGTATTTATCTAGACCATTAAAACCTTCACCTCCATTCTTAGGACTAATTTTAGCTAGTATTGGTAAATTAAGACATTACTTAGCCAAAGGATGTAGATTTTCACCTGAAGTAATCAGTGATAATGAATCAGGTAATAAGCCATACATTTTTATATTTAGCATGTTGAACATTTGTTATTAGAACTCATTTAAAATATATTGTTTTTAATAGATAATGAATGTCTAGTCGAATCAATGGCAAAACAACAAATAATGAATGAAGCTAATATGACTGATAGCACTACGTCTGGTACTGATTAAACTTCTTAATTAAATAGTCGTATTAACTATAAAGGTAATCTCAATGATAAATAATTATATCCATATATGTACATATAAATACCTGATAAATCATCTTTTATTTTAAAAAAAGTATTAGAATACATATTTAAATATAAGTATGATAACATACTCTAAATTTATACTATGCAATTGTACTGTTAAATATGTGTATATTGTGTTATGTACTTAAAAAGTGCCTACATAATACATTTTCTACAGAATAAACAGAAAACGAAACTATGTACAAGTTAGTTTCTAATAACTCAAATTTCTTAACCAAATGTTTTTCATACGAATCTTTTATTATTATGATTATTATTATTATTATTATTATTAAACATTATGTTCATGTTTAGGTACGAAAAAGACTATACTTAACTAATATAAGTTTTGTTTCTATTGTAAGTTTAAGAATTTTATAAATATGTTATTTCAATCATTATTGAATGAAATTCTTTCATTGAACTATTTTTATTTATAACTGTTGTATGTTTCGTTTTTTTGCCTTACATTTATATTTCTATAATTTCAATTTAAAAATGTAATTCTATTACTATATACAATATATTTCTGTTAATTGTTACATTTTAAATATTTCACTAACAAAATCGAAATATTTTTCAAAAAGAGTACATGTTTTATTACTGTTAACTGTTTAATATATTATCCGAAAACGTAAAATTAAGCGTATGACATGTTTACGGCAACACTACAAAATTTTTAATATTATAAACTAGATGTTTCAGATAACTAGTTTTATTTCAAGGACTCATTGTTACAAAATCATAATTACAATTTTTTTTTCTTTATTGAGCAGCACATGCGTTCTGCTAAATACAGTATATAAAATATACACTGGCGTATTATTACAGTAAAACATTTTCTTTGTATAAAAATGATGTATGTACAGCACACTCTTACTGTTACATGTACAGTATATTAGTACAGATTATTAGTTGACACTACACTAATATTAAGTTACAGTACAGAATTTGGATTATTACAATTCATGAAAGAAATAAAATATCTGTAATACATAATAAACAAATGTAAATAAAATAAATATAAAAAAAAATTAAAATGCACTTTGGACGGTAAGCATTACAAATAATGCTGAGAACATACTTTTCATGAAGAAAAAGTAAAAAGTACTTTAAAAGTAATAGAATGTCTGAAGGTTTAGAAGTATTTTATATATGTACAAATAATTTTATTTTATTTTTGATAGAAAAATAGAATAGCCAATAGCTTTTCTAAGAATGTGTTTCGAAATTAATTGATTATTAGCTACTTTATGATTAATATTAATAAGTAAAGATTCAGATATAAGAGTAAGAAAAAAAACGAGTAACTGTTCTCATTCTTAAATTAATTAAACGTGAAACAAACAAGTATTTAACATAGTGGTATCCTGACGTGATGTTCCATCTAAATTCCATTATACATAATAAATATTTATGCACCTCATGATCTAAAGTAATAACAGTCTGTAATTAGAACAATTTTTTACTATCTCTTTTCACTAGCAATACGATAATTCACACTAATAATAAGAATTTCAAAATAAATCTTGATACAGAAAATACAAATATAATGAGGATTTTTTACCTTAAAACGTAAAACACTAATATAAATGAAATATTTCTACATGTTTAAATTTGTTTAACATAATATTTAAACTTAATCGTACATTATACTTTATATTATTTTCTGTGATAATAATGTATTGTACTACGACGAAAGTGTATGAAATAAAAAAAAAAAATATTCAGTGTCTTATTCTTTAAGGGAAACTTCAATGTCTTCTTTACCAGTTTGGTATTTTCCTTATTACGAGAGAGTTGTTAAATTTGTTTATGTTAATTAGTTAAGTTTACCAGTCTCTGCAACCATTTTATACAATTGTTATTAACTCGAAATAGTTGAATGGAATTTCTTCTTATCCTTCCTATAAAATTTTTCCATTATGACACTTCAAAGTGCACTTATAAGCATAGTTTTATCTATACATATTCTAGCGTTGACATAGCGATATATTTAATTTCATACTTAAATAAACCATTCTTTTTTCTTTTGAACTTGATGGCCAGTGGCAGAATTAACTACTGCTGAATCAGGATCCAATGCTATTTCAGCACCCTTATCTTCTTGTGTTAAATATTCACCTTTATGTCTCGACATGTATCTTCCTATAAGTACCGCCATTATAACTAATGCTATAATAATAACAGCTAATACGCTTCCTAAAATTGCGGTATCGGTTTCGTTGTATGCAGCTCGAACTTTTTCTTCGTCCACCTGTGGTGGTGGACGAGTTTCTATAATATCCGGTGGATGTGTAATCGGTTCTACACCACAGAAATCTTCTGTGAGTGGAGTTCCGACGGAACGAACATTTCCAGGTCCATCTTCTTGAAATAGTAATTTCAGAGGATAAATATCGTCAAATTCTACTCTAGATATGCAGCCAGCAAAACCTTCTGTCATGGATTCATTTCTTCCAATATACATATATTGAATATTATTAAATTGTGCATCGGCAGAAGTTTTAATGTTGAAATAAAACTCTTTCGGTTCGTAATTATCAACTTGTAACACGAGTGTTGCTCCTGAATTCTTTCTGCTTATTCTGACATCATGATACTGCCCTAAACCAAAATGTTTATTGGGAAAAATGACTTCTTGTCGTTCAAAACCAAAATCGAAAACAACACGTAAATGGCCACTGTTTGAGACCATAATTGTCATATATTCTCCAGAGATATTTGAAAATAAACCAAGCAAAAATCCTTTAGGATTTGTCGTTATAAAACCAACTCTGATTTTTTCAGAGATCGTCGAACGCCAACTACCCATGAAATCGTACTTTATCAAAGAACTTGGACGCATATTTACACCAATTTCTGTAACAAATTTAACATCAAATATCATTGAATATAATGCTTAATAATTTTAAAATTATTTAAAATAGATAACAGCAATTTAAAAAATTTACATTTTTTTAATTAGGAAAAGAAGAAAACATACCATCTGCACAAATTGGACCTTTAAATGCAGTCCATCGACAATCGCAAGAATATCCATCATATCTTTCGTGACATGTGCCATTATTAAGGCACGGATTACTCTCACATTTACCCATGCATCCTTCAGAAATTCCATATAAACCTTGACGAGCATAACTTCTCAAATCCTGCAATTGACCATTCAAAAGGAATGCTCTGATGCATCCCACATAACCATCTCTATAATCTGTTGAGGCACCAACTACAAATTCTGAAGTGAGATGGAGTGCTCGCACTGGTCCTGGTGGTTCCCTTACTTCGTTCTTTAATGCACCGTCGACTACAATTCTAGCTTCTTTACGATTCCTTTCAACTGATACGGAATGCCATCGATTATCGGCTAATCTGTATGAGGTTTGTACACTGACAGTAAGTGGACCACCACCAGCTAAATATTGGAACTGAATTTGATTTCCACTATTTATAGAGATCTTTATGTAATCTGTGGGACCTTTGCTATGGATTATAACAGCATTTTCAATGGTCGTTTTGAATTCAAAATAAATATCACCGCTATGACCAATATCAAAGGTTGGTAGGTTGATGGTAGCATCAACAATGCGGAATGTTATGACATTCTTGAATAAATCTACAATAAAACGAAATGTTTTATTATTTTATCAAAATGGAATACTTTTATTTGAATAAACAGAAGTAACTACGAATGTTTAAAAAGTACAATAAGCATGAATGAGAATTAATAGTTAAGTAATACTAACTACTATTATATTACAGTACCTATTAATAATTACAAAAATACAATACAAGTTTGCATATTTACAAATGATCTTATAACTACATTAAAGGACGTCGTATCTTACCTGACCTTACCTTGGTAGTCAACCAAGGTAAATCAGAACCTTATAAACAATTTAAAATAAATTAAATTTCCTCATTTACATGCATAATGTTAAGAAAAGGTTCCAAACTTACCGTCTCCCTCGCAAATAAGAGGTCCAAGTGTATATCGACCTTCTTTTTCGTCAACTGGTGTACCAGTGTCACCGAATCGTAATTGTTTAACTGGGAGATACTCTTTCTCAGTGATATCTCCACTATCTTCGAGGAAACCATCCAAATCAGAATCACAATTGCACCATTTAGTAGGATCCGCGCAATTTCCAAGTATACCACATTCGCATTTACGTGAACCTGGTAATGCGCCGCCCCAGTAATCCATTTTTTGATTATTTCTACTGACCCACCATGAATTTGGTCTGAAATTATCTGCTTGTGGTACTAAAATTACAAAAATATTAATCACAAAAAATATAATTTCTGACGAAAATCGTTTTAATTTAAGTTTATTAATAGATATTTACCCGGAGAATTGAACAACTTAGAATGTGCGCATTCGTAACTAATTCTTTGTCTACAATTCGTAGATCGATTAAGAAAAGCTTCGATTTGGTCCATGTCTGCATCGTATATAATATCTTGAACAAAGCTACCTGGTTCTTGGAACCCATCCACAGGTGTCATACGTTCATTATTATGTCGCAATATAGTTATTACACGTCCATCTGTATAAAATTCGCAAACTACCGGAAATGGTTTCAAAGGCCCACTCCCATCAACATCTATTTTGATATCTGCTCGTTGATTAACTGAGTTTATATTCTTATATGCTTCACATGAAAGAGGATTCAAAGAAGTGTGGCACACTGCTCCTGTATATCCTGTATTGGCACAATCACAGAAGAATTCATCAGAATTTTGACGGCACACGCCAGAATGTTTGCATGGATTTGGATTACAACGATCCATCATTTGACATGCATCGAAAACAATTTCGTTTTTACAACAATATTCCTCCACCTTCCAATCAGTTGGTAACTTGTAATTGCCATCAATACTAATCATTCGCATACAACCAACAAAACCGCGGTTGCTCTCTATTCCTATCATTCCACCGATCATATAAACCGGTCCCGTAATTATTTCTAACATACGTTTGGTTCTCATAGGCGTTCTATCAACGTTTAAAACAAGGCTATTTTTCGAAATTGTTAAAATAACCTGGTGCCATTTGCCATCATTAAACTTTTCATCAAAGTTGTCCAAAATTACTTGAGGGCTTCCTTTCGTTTGAACATCAACTTTTAACTTACCATCTTCTAAAAATAGCTATAGATATGCACGATGTACAACATTATTAATATGATTGATAAAATAATGTATTTTTAAAAATAAATTTACGAACCTTTACGTAACCCGGAGAGGTAAATTGATGATACAAAATAATTCCCCTATCTTCGTACGTACGAAACGTGAGAGAAGCGTTCAATGAAGATATTCCTTCATATCCTTTAAGCCTGGCATACGAGCCATGAGTTAAAAATGTGACTGGGATTATAGGTGGTTCTGGACAGTTATAAAGCGTATTCACTTTGTAATATCTCAGATTTTCGCCAGTAACTTCTGTTTCCTTTAAATCTTGAATAATACTAGTTGCATTTAAATAAAAGTTTTCTATACACCCTGTAAAATTTTGATTGACTACTAATCCATCTTGTTTGTTAGGTACACCACCTATATAAAGCTGATAAACGTTTTTAAATTAATTAATATCGCATGTTAAAAGATAAGGAATATTATATATTATTGAATTACTTACTGCTCTATTTAAATCCAGTCTATGAAACTCTCCTTTTATTCTTCCCTTAATTAATACTCTATCTACAGAGAATGAAATATTTTTCCTGTTACGCGATATCAGAACATCATGCCACATATTGTCATCTAAAAGGCTACCGACGGAAAAACTTGACATAATACCAGATCCAAGATCAATATTCAATATCATTCTATTATCTCTTAATTGCAAAGCTATGTAATCTCCTTGTGTTCCGCGAGAGTACATTAAAATACCATCGGCATTATTTGTTTTAAACCGGAAGCGTATAAAATGTCTATCAGTTTCTATTGGTTCTCTTAATAAATCATATCGTAAAAGAGATGAACCATTGAAGGAAAGGACGTTGGACACTACAAAGAAAAAATTAAATAGCTGAAGAATTTGATACATTAATAGTGAATATTCAATTTGAAAAGTTGAAACTTAGTCATTCTTAGAATATTTTACTTAAAAGAAAATTTTAAAAAATTTAGAAAAGTAAGATAACATTCAGTTAGAATTCTACTGTTTCATCAATTACGAAAACTTTAATTTTCTCGGAAAATTTTAATTTCTAATTTGTAAGCAAGATTTTCATATTAACGTGAGAAAACCGTTTTATACAACTCCATAATTAGTTTTCTAAAATTTTTAAAGATGCCTAATTTTCTTTAATAGAATTCACAACTTTTGCCAAAAATATATTGTTACCTACCATAGCCACATCCATATAGTTCTAGTCTTAACGATATTCTATCCCGCCATCGGGTTGGGTTTATTCTAATCCATTGTGCAATAATCGGGACTTCGAATTTATTAAGTTTTATAGTATCACCATCTATGTTACCCTTAAACATCTACAAAAAGCAGATACAATAAATGTTCTCTTCTTTTTTAGCTGATAATACCGTATAATCTTTGTTAAATTTATTTTGATTGTTTCAAAAATAAGACTGAATATGTTTTTATATGTTATATTAGAACTTTTGTACTTTTTAGTAACACTTATATAGTCCATTAGTTAGTTATATGTTTGTTTTCAGTAAAACATCAATGTCTAAAATTGTAATGCATAAAAATAAATAGGAGTAAATTAAATATAAATTGATATAGACACTTTGCATGCTTTTATGTATAGGTATGTTAGTATAGCATTGTTAATTATAAGTGCAAAAGCATAAAAGCAAATGTTTAACATTCTATTGAAATGTATCAGTTAAAATAAAAGTTGTAAGTTATTAAAGAAATTGTCAATGTACAGTGTATGAAAAATTCGAGAGTATGTAAAGAATTCTCATGAAGTGAAGAAAGAAATTTCGTGTAAGCCATGATATTTGAGAAACTATTTCAAATTTTTTAAATTATATTTTTTTATTACTTGGCTGAAATGTTGGATTCTAATAATAACTATTATGTAAAATTTAAAAATTATTACAATAAGAAGGCAGAATTATAGTTCCCAGTGCCTCCACCAATAAATAATATTTTGTTTAAAAAGATAAAAATATGTTGATATGTACAATATCTAAAATATGTTACATATGTACAATACTGTTATATATGTATCATTTTGAAGAAAAAGAAGTAAATGATTTTGTACAGAAAAGTTCTACGTTTTTTTATAATCAGTATCTCTATTAATACCTCATCTACACCATACTGGCTTTCATAACTGGCCCAGGCTTGACCATCATCAGAGTATTGGACAATGTACTCTGTCACATATTCATTAGTATGAGCACGACCTCGTGTAGCAATGCTGCGTATCTCATATCTGTCCCACAGTTCCACAGTAAGATGTTGATCATAACTGCTAAGCTCTGGTGACCACGTAGAACCTCCTGCAAAGCCCAGCCCCATGTCCATGTGTAAAAGAAAAAGAGTAGAAGCAAAGCAGATGAGTAAGAGGTAGAAAATGTTATGAGTTTTTTGAAAATGATAAAATAATGATTATCATTTATTTTGATTTCAATAAACGTATTTTGTTTATTTCTAATACATAATAGTTCTACTTTCCTATCTTGATATTTACATAATTTAGAAAGTGATTGTGGAACTATAAAATATATCTAATGCGTAGAAAAGATTTACGCAGTGTACATTTATGCCTATGAATGAGAAAGCATTCTATCAGTATACGTTTGTGTTAACATGCAAATAATACCTACCTACTTAGATGTCCTTACAATACAATATTATAAAAATTCATTTGTTATTTTATTCATGCCAAAGGTACTTCATATAGTAGAAGACTTTTAAACTCCAGCCATAACTTTTGTATTATTACAGTGCAACAAATTTTTATTAGTCATTATTAGTTTTTATTAGTTACTAAATCCAATATACCTTATTGATAAATCTTCTCATGGATTATGGCTATGTTAGCACAGACACTGATTCAAAAGTTGTATAAGATCAGTTTACCTTAACATTACCATCTTCTTCTTTGAAATCAACGTAGTCCAGGCCATTTGTACCATAACTGATACCATATTCCATAACATACTCATTTTGTACTGCTCGTCCCTGGGTCGCCGCAGCGGTGACGTTCATTACTTGACCCAGGTCGACAATAAGGTACTGACCAAAGTCTGAGCTGCTAGCCGTCCATGCGTTTCCGCCTACGCCACAACATATACGCATGCATGCAACTCAAAATGAACTTAAGGAAGCAATCATACTTAAACAAGATAGAGCTATTCCAGAATTAAATACTACCGCAATTATCGCGTAAAGAACTTAAAATAACTATAATGTAATAAAGATAATAATCGATTATATTTATTTATGGCTGAAAAAATAAATTTTGTAATACTTAAGTTGCACTCATGAAAATATATTAAAATAATTGGAGCAATACTTTTTGAAAGAAATACGTGTACGGAAGTCGAAAAATACGATGTTATATGTTATTTATAGGAAACTCCCTTTCCCAAGCAAAAGAGAGGAAATGTATAAAAGTAACAGGTTCGTGTATTGTATGCACATAAAATAAATGAATTTAAAATTATTTGTGTATTTCTTATAACCCTCAAGTTTATCTTTATATTACAAAATTATATCAAAATTGTATTTTTATTCAAAATATCAAATTTCTGAAATTTCAGATTTAAATTTAAATATTATTAATTAAAATTTTCGAATATAAAAATTTTATAAATAATCTATGAATTACTATGAAACTATGAATTATAATTCTAACAACATTGAATATTTTATAAGGTAAAATAAAATTTGTACGCTTATTTTTAACTATCTTTATTTGATCCACTGACTGAATAAAGACGTTATATCTGTACATCTATGTTACATATACATAAATTATTCATGTAAATTATACATGTATTTATATGTATAAATTACACATATAATTATATATTTAAGTTATAAATAAATTACTCATGGAAAGTAATATAACAATATATGGAATTTTAAAGATACGAATTTTCCTCTTTCTTAAAGTATTTCTGTGTATACTCGAGATCTTGTGGAAACAATGGGACAGTGTTTGCTAAAAGTTTATTACTACTTATTATGTCAAACATACTCCTTTGCGATTTCGGTGTTTTTTCATTTTCTTGTAATGCTATGGCAATACAATGTTGCGAATTCAACAATGTTTCTTCAAACAGCCACTCTTGTTTTGTATCGTTTATGTATAAATCTGTATCGGTCGTAACAGAGTTTTCCGAAAGTTCCGAATTAGTTTTAAAAATGATTGCTCCAAGATCAGTGATAATGCCTACACCTATAGCTTTCAAATAGCTTTCTTTTAATGCCCAATGCCTACAAAACATACTAATTTGTGCAAATTCATTCAGAGACAAATTCTTTATCTCTTCCCATTCCGAACGTGAAAAATTTCGATTCATTATACGGAAAAATTCGGACAAGTCTTTACCACCGGTATACTCAAGTTTCATTATATCAACCCCTAATTTTACATTCCTTGTTTCACCTGCCAAAACTGTATAATTACCATGATGAGATACATTAAAGCTTAAATTCAAAGAAACATTTTTTAAAATAGGTTTATTATTTGCATCTCTTGTAAATATTATATCTGAATATGGAATATGTCCATAATCACAAACAAATTTTCTCATCAGTAATCTACCTACAAGAGAAGCCCTAACATCTTTACGAAACACAAATCTGCCTAGTCTCTCTTTTTCTTCTAACTGAATGCAAGAGATTGCATAAGCAAAGTCCTTTTCACTGGGATTCCATTCCTTCCAATTGAATGCCCACCGAATGCTTTGAAACATGTTTCTAGTACTAACTTTAATATTTATCTATTAATAAGTTAATGTTTTATAAAATATGATTTCCTTCTTTTTGTTAAACCCCAATTGTTAAAGTATCTTGTCTTTTAAATAACCAGGCTACTCTTTAGCATCCACCTGAAGCAAATAGACAAGACATTGTATTACTTTTTTATTAATTGAAAATATTTATTTTTATTTATTGATATAATTGTTAAATTATGTATGTGAAAGAAATATTTATTACAAAGAAAGAAATCAGATGTACAGAATAACTGGGCAGTGAGTCAGTGAATTCAGTTTACCTAATTTAAACCTAAAGTTCTTTTAATTGGATGAGACATGTAGGTGTTGATGAGAACAATATTTCTTTAATTTACACCTTTTAATCTAAAAGTCTCTGTGGCTTAATATAAGAGCAAAATATATATAATATACAGATAATACACAACCTGCATTATTGTTAAATTAAATTATAAATCTAGATGTAGAAAAGCAATCTTAGTAACAGGAATACATTATCACATACTTCTTCAAAATGTAATATATAGACAGCAAGCAACAAACTACAAATTATTAAATATTTCCATACTTGTACAAGAAAATAACATAAAGAATGTTACTGAATAAATACCTAAGAGAAGTGCAATATATAATTCATAAGAAATTAATGAAACTTTACCATTGAGTCTAGCATTCTTTGGATTCCTGTTAGGCAATGATGTTGTGGCTGTTAAGTGAGCTCTGTCCAAAAGTGGTTCGTTACATTCATCATCTAATTGAAAATTAGATTCAAGTTAATAATATAATTTACATTATATCTTTAAAATATCTAATATCAAGAAAGTAATTTCTTAGTAATTGTAAATTGAAGATGATTCTATCATTTTATATAATATAAAATATCTATCGATTCAATAAAAGGATTAAAGATTTTTATTTTATGTAATCAGTATAAAATATCATGTTTATTTAATAACATATATTCGTACATTCTAGAAAAATAATATATGATTGTAGTACGTAAGTTATAAAAAATTTCAAGTTTTTAATTGTTTATTAAGGCACGCATTAGCGTTAGCATATAGTGAAAATTTATTCGTTTTAAGTAAGCTTGTCATACATTAATTCTAGTACGCCATGTTGTAAAGTGGGCTTGGCTACATGAAATCATCTCGACAAAATTATTTGCTTCAACGAAAAATCTTATGTAATAATAAAATATACTTACATGCAGAAGTAAATGAGTTACTCGCAACTGCAAACACAAACACAAAACACCTGATAGTATTCATCGTATCATTGCCCTTTTAGAGAGCAACATACGACAAGCTATTCCTAAGCGGGATGCGTCGTTGAAACTGTTACCGATTCTCACCAGTTGTATTACTCTTACACACACAACGAGAAGCCTTACTCACTTTCTCATAACCGTAAATAAATATAAATAAAACCACGTTTAACAATATTAATTATTTAAAGTGATTCAGATTTTATTATATCAAAAATATTTCAATGAAAATTTAATTGTTCGAAAAATAATATTCAAATATATCAATATAAATTAGTATAATTGAAATTCATATGATTCAAAATAGAATTGACATTATTACAGTTTGATGATATACGAAATTTATTATTTCTATAACGTAAGAATTTTTTGAAAAAAATATTTATAGAAGTTGTACTTCTTAAATATATATATATATTTAATAATTTTATAATTTAAACATGCTACAGCAAGTTATGAACAGACGATAAAGTTAGCGATATCACAGCAAGTGTATTTACAAATGAAGTGTAAGTTTGCTTTCACAAAACCTTCGAGTTTCTATACAATCAAAATTTTAGAATATGTGATATGTAGTTACATAAAACATAGGTCTTCTATATGTTTTATACAACATAGGTCTTTGTTGTACTTGGTTAGTTAACGCTTAGTTAAATTATAAAAGAAAATTTATAATATCGTCTGCATTTGTTCCACGAAGTATAGAATAGGTTCTAGAGGTACAAATGAGAGTTGGTTGGTTTCAAAACGATTCGATTCGTTCATGTAATCCGTACTTTATCAACCGCCAAATATACTTGTGCGTGTTTCCCTACTTTACCAATGTGTGGTTAAGCCAACTGAATTCGGTTCTCTTAAAGTTACTATTTTGTACATTGAACTGAATTTTCTAGTTCTTCTAATTTCAAAAGTCTTTCAAACGCAACATTACCTTAACTGGGAAATATGCTTTGAAGAATGTGATGATGCTCGAATACGCAACATTAATGCTAAGAGATATATAGAGATGCCAAGAAATAAGTCAGTAAAGGAGGAAATACACGATATTAAATACACTAAGGTATTCTTAACTCGTATATACACTAAACATATACAAAAGTGATGTACTCGTGACGTACATTCAATCTGCGATAAAACGATAACGGAAAATTACACATTTTTCATAAATAATTATTAAGGTCCATAGTATCATTTGAACTTATCAAAGTTTTTAAGAAAAAGTTACTGCTTATTTTTGAATGTAAGTAAATTTTCAAAAACAGATTATTCACGTATGTTCATATAGAGGCTTTAAGATTTAATATGAGCGTAACTTGATTAAGGTAGATTTCTCTTTTACGAAGTTACAGCAATTTAAAGATTAATAACTTTTCGATCAAAATTTCTTGATCCCCTTGTTCACGAACATATGTGTCTTTTATGTTAATTGTTTCGAATTTTTTTTTTGTTATATTTAGATTGTGAATTATACAGCATTTACGTGACTGCTTTGATTTTATATTTGAATATTAGTTTTAATGATGATCCCATTCAACCATTAGGTATCTAATAGAAAGTAGATAGTTGAAGTAATTAATTAAATAAATATTTATATCCAAATATTATTAATTTACATTCGTGAATAACTTATTGACATCATTTTGTTACTACTTTCACGCTGTCAATTTGATCAAAATGGCTGATGAACTTCTACTTCATACCGAGAAGAAAGAAGATCAAAATGAGCAGTCTATACGCAGTGACAAAATTGCACAAAATGAACAACATGGTCGAAACGTTGAAGCTAATAAAAATTACAGAAAGATTAAAAATCAGAACGAAGGAGAAGACACGACGCCATTAGTTGAAAGTACCATTTATGTCGACAATTATTCGGAACACGAATATGCACCGAAATATGAAAAAGGCTGGGGAGAAGACGAGAAGTGTTAGTTTTTCATTTTGTCACAAGATATAAATTAATTCCTAGAATAGTAGTATTAGAATATCCTCTTATCTACAAAATGTAACGGAGTATTTTATGCTTTCAAGGAAAACGTGTAACTAGTATTATTATTTGATTAACACTTATAGTGAACTCTGATGCTTCGATACTTTATATTCTTCATATAACATTATGCAAGTTTAAATCTTATCTTAACTCGTTTTCTTGCATTATTATGAAAAACGTTCATTTTTTTCGAAGCAATCTCTAGTGGCACCATAGATTGGGAAAAAGAAGCAAAGGAGACGGTACGGCTTGATACGAGTTCATTAAGAGAAAGGCGAAGGACGATTTTCGAACTAGATTCTTATTCCTCTTCTGGCCTATCAGCGAATGATATTTTACGACTTACTTCGCAAGATTATGTACCCGATACACGAAAAGAAATTCGTTACACCGTTTCATTGGTAAATCACTAACATACATTCCATCTCCAACTTCCTTATTTACAAAAATCCAAAGAATTTCAATCGTTATTCACAGTCTTATTCGACTTATTGATTTACATTTCTCTTGTACAGGGTGCCCCAGGCATAGCAAGAATTAATTTATCGCCTCTGACTCAAAAGGTAGTTGGCTGTGTTATAGGAGAAAATGTTAGCACTGAATATCCGTGGGTGTATATCAGAAAAGAGATTATCGAAGACAATATAGATCTCCACGAAGAGAGTAGTGATTTCTTGCCCATAAAAGAGGAGATCCGCAAGTTTCCAAACTCGAAAATACTGATCGGTTACGTTCCCTCGTTAACTGAGGAAGGTCAGTTCTACATATGCTTGAGTGAAGAAGGTCGGGACGCGGTAGTCGAGTATATCCAGAAGCAAAGGGAGGAACATGAAAATCGAGTGAGAACTGCCGTCTATAAGCCATTAGGGACATGGCAAGATCTCAATAGTAGCGCGGAGATCGAAACGACAATCGTTAAGAACACCAGACCACTTTTAGAGATCGAGGTAAAAAGTAGAAAATAAAATAAGGAAATGGATGAAAGTGCTACGAGTACCTTATAAGCAGTAGCAGGATAAACGAAAGCTTTTACCTAGAAAATACGACATTTTTCGATAAAAAGAAACTTTCAAAAGTGCAAATTTTACAAAATTATAATAAGCAAGAGATGTTCTTCTTATTATAACTCACCATCTTCCTCTTAGTGAACGTTTAGTTATTCACTTTAGGTGATAGGTACAGCTGATGTACTAAATGTACCAGTCCATTTGGAGAACAGAGAAGTAAAAGATGCTAGAGATGGATACATCGAGCTTCTTCCTGATCGTCAAACCTTTGAAAATATTACACATAAACTGTTATGTTGCATGACTCAAGTTACCCCATTTGTTCGAGACGTGGAAACTCAAACGGAACTTTTGATACCAACAAACTGTTGGGTTCAATACGAATATACGTATCCATCTTCGTTCTTAGCAAGTTTCACGTCGGAGAAATTGGAATCTTTAAAGATTTTCCTTAGGCATTTTACGGACTACATGTGCGATCAAGTTGGTTTATGGCTTTTTAAATTGAAAAAACTCTCATCATTTGAACCTGCGATATTTGCAATGGCTTAGTAAATAACGTTTGTAGTTGTTGTTAAACGCTACCTGGGATATTTATACCAACGATTATGGCAATTTAGTAAGGAATATAAGAGACACTCAATGGCCTATACCTGTAAGCTATGAGGAACATCTGAGTTTTCACGACGAAAAACACGTAGTTAATAAAGTTATTAATGACCTTTACTGGCATCCATTGTGGACTGGAATAGCGTTCGCTGCTTACACGAGCTATGCAAAAAGCCAACATCTGATCGGACCTAAATCAGACGCAGAGGTAAATCTGAAGCAGTCCTTAATGACATCAGAAAAAAATGTTTTCTTCCTCAAATATCTGGACTTTTGTAGGTCATAAAGGCTTATGACAATAATTTCGTTCTCGTGTGGTCGTTCAATGATTGTTTGATACCGAAATTGGTACTCGAATGTCCAAGGGAAGTAACATCCGTAGCCGTAAATCCATTGGATGGAAATCTGGTTATCGGTGGTTGCGCAAATGGTCAATTAAGTATTAACAATCTGAAAAGCAGGGAACGAGTGTCGTGAAAAAAAAAGAAGAAAGATATCATTACGAATAATTCTGAATAATTATTAAAAATTATAGGTTGTACTCTGGCATATTCCTGGAAAAATCGAGAAAGTAGAAGCGGTTGTTGTATACACCGCCGCTCAAATAAAGCATAAGATTACCATAAAGAGTTTGACTACGTGGATGCAGGAAGGAGTTGGAACGTCTATAATCAGACCTACAGCGATGTCCTCGTTAAAGGAAAGCCAGAAGGCGGCTGTGACCCAGATTATATGGATTTCATCGTATGACCAGATGGATTCCAATGGCAGAATTGTATCGTTACCGGAAGACACAAATATCAATGATTTATCTTCACAATTTATTACAGCGAGTGAAGATGGTACGATCGCTTTCTGGAACTTGAAATTGGACGAAAAGTTAGTCCTCTTTTAAATAAATTTGATCAATTATCTTTCATTTGATATTTCTAAAGAGTTTCACCTTACTTTCCGTTAAAATATGACTATTAGATTGATCGAATATTACTAATTCTTGCAAGGTGGCAGGCGTTCAAGAAGAGTCGGCCAAAAAAGAAAGGGCAAGCGACGAGACCCGATGCGTTAACAAAATCCATATCTCCATTTAAAGTACTAGATCGTGTTTTCAAGCCCTTTTACATGCTGATAGTTCAACATCCAAACGAAAGTCGTAACGTAGTGATCACTACTATCACCATGTATGTACCGAAATTTAAAAAAGAATGCGTGGATGTTACTCCGCCAACACCCGATATAACTATTCGAAAGTTTTTTAAAAATATAATAAAAAAGTCTGATTTTGTGATGCAACCAAAAATATATGTTGGCACTGTCGAAGGTAGGAAACATCTTTGAGAAAAGGAAGAAAATAAATATTACTTATTATGTCGAGAACTTGATTCGAATATTTTCATTCTTATTGACAAATGATTATTTATTATTGTTAGGTGATTTCGGTTGCATCACGTGGGAAGGATATGATTTTACAACAGATGTAACTATTAATACCGAAATATGTCATTGGTCCTGGTGTATAAAAGTACACGACGGTCCCATAACGCATTCCGTTAGATCTAAACAGGATGGAAGTTGGATTGCTACTATAGGTGGAAAGATATTTGCCATTTGGAAGGAAGATGTTGGTGTACCTGTATTGTGGAAGAAATCAGATGTCGGGTATATTATTTATAAAATCGTCATATTAAAAGATAAAATCTGTTTCTAAGAGATTGTCCATCGTATTGAAAATATTCATTGTTTGATAAACCTGCAGTTCTGAAACATCTTATACATACAGTAACGACGAATATTTCTCTAAAGTACAATTGAATGGATTTCATTACCAATGGATTAATCAACTATTTAGGGTCAAAAATTTACTTTATCTTATTCTTACCTTATTATTAGGTAAAGTGAAAGTCAATAAGTATAATTTAAAAAAAATTTATTTTCTTGTAATAACAATATTGCAATCACTGTCTTCTTTCTTTTCTATAGATTCACTGCTGTTTCATGGGGTAGTTTTCGTCCTACAATATTAATCCTAACACGAACAGATGGTACCGTTGAATTATGGGATTTTATGGTAAAAACAGAAGAACCATGCGTCATGCAGAGCCTATCAGGTCGCATAATTACAGGAATATATACTCACGATTTATATTTGACTACTCAATGTGTAGGATTTTGCGATTTTAATGGTATCTTAAGAATGTTCCTGGCACCTACTGCTTATCTCAAAACAGACTCGGTTTGTATGGAGTGGATAACAAACTTCATTGATCGGCAAGTTAAAAGGGTAAATTTATGGAAATTAAAATAATCCTCAGTAGTCCGTGTCACCCCTTCAGTCGAAACCTCATCAGCTCTCGATATGGATGTTTTTATACATTGATTTTAAGCCAATCTGAATTTTTATTTTCGTACGCTTCTTTCTGTTATTTCGGTTCCATACATTATTATCTCCCAAGAATTTTTTTAGTATCGATGATAAAAGATACTTTTGAAGGCGTACATAATTCGAAATGCATACTCGCCAATTTCAGGTAAAGAACTGCAAAGAATGGACAGAGAAATGGTTAGAGACAGACTATACGAATATTGAAGAGAAACAAAAGTTAACAAAGGATGCAGAGGAGAAGAAACAACAGGAAGAAAGGAAAAGAACTATCTCGAAAACAGTAGAAATTGAAACTTTCGTAGAGCCTAAGAGGAAAAGCTTGGTACGTTTCATTTTGACAAATTACCCGGATAAAAAAATAAATAAATAATAAAAATAATACATTTTAGAAATCATGGGAGATAATTAAAGAATCACGCGAAAAATGGAAAGCAAGAGAGTTAAAGCATATGCAGCAAGTCATTTTGGAGAAGAAAGGTTTAAGAAAAGATGATCTTGAAAAGCAACGTGAACCTATTTTAAAATTGCGACAGGAAGCAAAAAGGAAGAAAATGCGATTGCGGGAGACATTAAAAATGCAAGAAAACATTTTCGAGCATACCAAAAGTCTTTTCTTTCCTCAACATCAGCCAGAAACTAAACGAATTTCCTTACCACCTCAGCCGGGAAAAATTGATGAAGCACTTACTGCAGAGGATAGTATCCTTGAACAAGAGGTGATGGTATGTGGAAGAAAGAAAAATTATTTTTAATTACGATGTTTTCATTCATATTTCCTTTTTTAATTCATTTTCAGGATATTCATCCTATGATTGACCCAAATGAAGAGATCATTTATCATTTCATGGAAACGCAGAATAAAGTATTATCCGATTTGCAGAAAAATCCGCTCCAACATTCGTTTAATTGGCAGAACATTTTAAAGAAAGGGAAGATAATGCGCGATTCGATGGATATCGAGTTAAGAAAATTGAGTATGACGAAGAAAAAATTCAGTGTAATCACATAGGTAATATAGAGGAGAAACAAAATAGTTCTAAAAATAAGTACATATCTTTAAAATTTATTTGAATTTCAATTCATCCAATTTAATAAGTTTAATTATTAACGATTGCAAATTAATATAAAAGATGAAGTATGCTCCACTTCAAACTTCAAATTGTAGGAAGGATGTCAGAAAAAGAAAGAGCTGTAATGAATTCAATTATGCAAAACATTACTGCGTAGGTGAATCGGAATCAGGTGATTCACATTCGTCGGTAAACTGACAATTAGTGTCCTGAAAATATAATATCCGGTATTCGTTGTAAGAAGAATTTAAGCAGACAAAAGAGAACAGTTTGCACTGTAATTGTCCCTACCTTCTATCATATACTCCGTAAACGTTCTTCAAATTTGTTACAAAAAATTAGATTGCATGAAATTTATTCTGTACAAAATAAAAAATAATTAAAAATTGTTAGGTACTAAGAAAATCAAGTTATAAACACTAAAGAAAATAAAATACTTTCTTTAATATTTAAGAGAATATCTATAACAATTGATAACTTGTATCTTACTTGAACTTACATATTCTCGTTTTTTAATTTATTATATATTTAAGTGAAAGTTGTTTCGAAAATTTGTCCATGAACTTACAGTTTTTTAATGCGAGAACATTGCTTAATTCTTAAAGTTGTCTAATAGCACCAGTATTTTCCTTATTATGTAACCTATATGATTCGTATGTCATGTTTATACATAAATGAAGTCATCAGAAAAGAAACCACTGTATACCCCCGATTTTCAAAAATATCGTTTAATAAATATGTTCCTGAACAAATAATTAAATGTACTTAAAATGTATACATACAAACAAAAGAAAGTATATTAACATATTAAAATATTTATCACTAAGTTATTAACTCTATTCTCAAAGGAAGATTTATTACTGATTTTATTTCAGCTGTCACAATATTAGAAATACATATATCTTATTTTAATATTCAACTTCAAATGTTAGTTTAACCTGTGTCTAACTATCCTATATAAGAATAATTCTCGTTCATCTCAGTGAAATCTAGGTCCAGAATCTATCATCGTCTTTGATAACCATCGCGTTAGTATGTGATTTAATGGTGCATGATTGTTTTCAAAGTAGTAGTTTGTAACGACTCGACAAGAACGACAAGTAGGGATATATGTTAAAGATATTTTGTCGTACATATAAGCAGTGCTTTAACCCAGCATTCAGCCAGTTAGCATCCGTGATTCCGAGTGGTTGTATGTGGTACGTACCTTTCACTTTCTACGTTTATCCCTCAAGGTTGAGAAGTTCCTCGCTTATGGTTCATTTATATATCACCATTTTACGCAGCGTATCAGAAATTTATTCTTAACCTTTATGTAATAATAATTTTACTATCGTAGATTATTATAATGCAATGTTATCTGTCCTAACTTTTATTTTTAAATATTTTAAATAAAAAATAATAAATTTATACCATTAATATTTCAATATAATTGTTAATTTGTACTGTGTATCTTAACCAGTATTTCTCAGAGCGTTGTTTCTCCGTGAACTTGTAACAAGTGCCCGTAAAATAATAAAAACGGTGTACTAGTTAAAAAACTATTCCTGAACAAACTTTAAAGTGAATTAACAAGTGCGTAATTTACAACACAGACCTGCTTGGTATTTTTAGTATTCTACGAAATTTTCTTATAATCCAAAGTGTTCCTTTACGCCGAAAATTAAGAACCGCTAATTCAAAAGTTGTAAAATCAAATCAAGTTCTGAATTTTTAATACTTAATCGACTTTGTGTTATTAACGTCGAAATTTATAAAAGAAGAATAAATTCATGGCCACCTGTGAAATTAATAATAACTGAATATAAAAAAAATGTTAATATTTTAATAGTAATTTAATAATAAGGCTAATTTTCATCATTGAATTGTGTATAATAATTTAATCTCATTTTTAGGACATTTATCATGTATCGAATAATCGTACTGCTTCTTGGTATTGTATTTGCCGCCATTGCAGAGGTAAGTTCACAAACATATTAATTTTATCAAAATAAAGTCAAGTAATATTACAAAATTTATATTTTATAGCAAAATTTCTTATCCGTCCGTTTAAAACCACACAACCCTAAAGTGAGAAATGTAACGGGAGAACTAGTTTTCGTTCAAAATGAAGATAATTCCATTCAAATAATAGGAAAAGTGTGCGGACTTACGCAAGGATTGCATGGTTTCCATGTACACGAAAAAGGAGACTTACGAGACGGTTGTACGTCTACCGGCCCACATTTTAATCCTGAAAATGTAAATTACTATTTTTTATGGCAAAGCCTTAATAAAATATTCAACCCACTTTCGATATATAATACGCTAATTGATATTTATAAAAGAAATTAATAATTATAACATATTCTTTGCATTAGGTTACACACGGTGGACAAAATAGTCCGGTGAGGCATGTTGGCGATCTAGGTAACATTTTAGCGAATGCGCGAGGAGAAGCAGAAATAAATATTCAAGATTTTATTATTTCTCTAAGTGGAAAAAATAACATCATTGGACGTGCAATAGTTGTTCATTCTGGTGAAGATGATCTAGGAAAAGGGAACCATACGCTTTCTGCAACCACTGGAAATTCAGGAGATCGTTGGGCTTGTGGCATTATTCAGGCTCAATAAGTTTCTATTAAAATTTGATCTTTTATTTGATTCATATGTTCACAATTAGATCCCAGTTTGTTATACTTAAAAATTATAAATGATATTAAAAAGCACAACTGTTCAAGATAAATACTTTGACATAACAATTTTTTAGTCTTTTGCTAAATAAAATGAATACTACAATTAAAAATAAAAGCAAACTTATTTTTGTTACACTATAAAAGTATTTAATTCTATATAACTATCAAACAATATCTTATTCTATGTTTCATTATTACAGAATTAATATTCTCATTAACATATAACAAAAATTTAAGAATATTAATTCTCAATTATTGTATTAAAGTTTGTCAAATGAAGACTTTTAATTTGTTTTATCTTTATATGTCTATATATAAGTCACCTATAATTTAATTTTTATGGTCATATTATCCATAATTTATCATTATAATTTATCTCATTCCTTATGAGAATTCAAATTATTAATAAAATAAAAGTTTCAATCTAGTTCAACTTATTACACATTAATTCAAAGACAATGGTTGCCAGTAATATTCATCCAGAATATTCATTTTGTATTAATTTGAATTGAATTGCACATTGCAAATTTACACAATCTTTAAGAAATATTTACTCAAATTGTAAAATATTGCTTTTTCATAAATATGTTTGCAATTGAACTTCATACTTTCGATATTACTTTTATGAGTAAAATGGATGAAAATTCTTTAAGCATTTCAATTCAAATTTCAAAGTATTTCATAACAATGTCATAAGCAAGAAATTATTTGTTATAGCGAAGAACGTAAATTTGACAATTTGAAATTTCTCTGTATCACGCATTTAAGAACATATTTATGAATACAGAACAACATGAAAGTTTATGCATACTCATTTTCTTATTTTATTTTCCATCAATAAAATCAATTAATCAATTATAATTAAGTAAAATCTGTAAAACAACGGTTATTCGATTATTCGGAATTATATATCTTTTTACAAACGTTAAACCGGCGTAATCAGCTTAAAATAATACAGTATTTAATCAATCACGTGTACCGGTTAAGTGTAAGTTTACAAACTGAATAGTTTTACTTCAAGAGGTTATCTCCATATGGTTTAACTCGACACTTAAATGTTGGATTTAATACAATTAGGACAGTTAATTTTGATCGCAAAATAAAATTTTCCGTTAACCAATATTTAATTTATATAATTTAATTGCTTTGAAACAGTTAGTTTTATAAAAAGTAAAATTTTTATTAGTCCTTTATTTATTTGACTTATAATTTATATTAATAATAATTTTTAATTCCGTATATTTTAACCTACAATACATTTCTCTCTTTTACATCATTTTCTAAGTTACCGATTCAGCACAAAATTAGATTATAAATTACAAAAGGAGTACTAACTATAAAAACTATCTATACGAAGAATTCGTTTCAAACATAAAATACAAATATTGTTTATTCAATTTTTAAAAGGTAAAGATTATGTTAAAAGATTTATTAAAACATCTATTTATTATATTCTTAGTTTCATTTATTTGTAAATAAAACTTTTATATATTTACAGCATAACACTAATATGGATATGTACATTTGTAACAAATGTTCTTCTACAACATATAGAGGAAAAAAACCATTTTGTTTAACTCAATGTGGTCATATATATTGTCAGGGATGCATACAACAAGGCAATAATAAGAAAAAGCTCTAACATAATAAGCAAAATAATATTATTAAACATTGTTTGTGCTATTTAACATAAGAACAAATATTTTATTTTATTATTTAGCTGAAAAACAGTGTCCTCAATGTCAACAGATGGATATCTTTTCTATAGAATTACAACAACCATCATTATCAAGGGTAGAAAATTTCTTTGCTCCATTGAATGAATCATTGGAATCATTACATAAAATATGCGGTTTTCAAAATAATCAAATGGAAATTTTGATACAACGTTTTCACGAAATCGTACGTTTCTTTTTTAATCTTTATATATTCAACTAAAAAAAATTATAAATTTTTAACGAAATTTAAGGACAAAAAATACGAAACATTAAAATCCCACTACTATAACCTTACTCAAAACATGAAAGTAATTAGAGATAAATATATAAAGCTAAAAATGGAAAACACAGAACAAAAAAAAAAATTGATGTCTTTTGAAATACAGAATAGAACATTAAATTCTTTAAGCGATGCTTCCACACCGATAAAATCTAACAATCCAAGAAATCCAAAAATAAGGTATGCATATATAATATCGTGGTATTAGAGTAAGAAGATTAAAGATTTAAAAGAGATAAAAATAATATGTATAACTAAGAAACCTTTTTTATTTATAGAACTGCATCAAATTCATACTTTTCGTCCTGTGGTACAAATACGTCAAATCAATCACTTAATGTAAGAAAAGAAAAGAGAATGCTAGAAGGTTTTCGTATTCCTTTTCCTCAAACAGTACGATCAGTTGATACTCGTGAAGTTTCAAACATGAACCGTACTTATATTTAAATCCTACATAAAATTATAATAGTTACATCTTAAGTATTTTTAATATATTTAGTCATAAAAAATTGAATCTATTTTAATTAGATGTAGCAATTAGATTA